AGACAGACAGACGGACGGACGGACGGACGGACGGACGGACAGACAGACAGACAGACAAAAATTCTAAAAACGATAGATTCGGCTTATTTCAATAAGATTTTCCAAAAAATATCTAATGTACAGATTCGGCTTAGTTACAATTTTATTATATGTATAGATTTAATCCCAGCAAAGCGAGTTGTTATAAGTTTAATGCGTGTATCTGTGTGTCTGCTGTCGCTTCGTAACAGCCAAACTGATGAACCGATTTTAATTTACTTTTCTTCGTTTCAAAGGTGACTTAATTGAGAGTTTTGTTAGCTATAAATCAAGAAAATCCATTTAGCCGTTTGCATCAGAATTATTTTAGAGGGTTAAAGAACACGAGCAACTTCCACAGATCTAATCCATTCGAAATTTGGTATCCCGTTACTACTTACTTCAATGACATGGCAATGATATGGTAACCTTGGCCTGATGCTGCAGAGTCACCTGGAATCTGCAAGATACGATTCTTTACTAAAATACTGTAGAGATACTGTTTAGGCTCATTGAAATAGCCCCAATGAATATGCTATAGTGTTGTTTTGTTTTGTTTTTTTTTAATTTTTAATTTAATTCCTTATAATAAATACAATTCTATATTTAAAAACTTTAGAGCTTCTAGGATTTATTAGTTTTAATTAAGGTTCTTATGTTAATTAAGTTGATTTTCTTTAAAGATACACACACTGACTGTGTCTTTAGAAATTAATATAGCAATGCCTTTGCATTGCGACAGAAATCTTTTGTTTTATATGCAGGCACCAATTTGACCACAAGGTTTTAGTATATATAAAGAATATACAGCTTAATCAAGAATCTCCTTCTTTCTGAAGTCGGTTAAATTATAAATATATATATATATATATATATATATATATATATATATATATATATATATAAGTATAATATATTTTACAATATTTATTGTAAGTGTATTTTTTTTATCTCACGAATCAATTTATAGAGAAATCGTAATTCTGTAAGTACTTATTTCATGAAAAACTGATAAAGCATAATACCTACGCTGTTGACATGAATAAGGCAATTCATCCAGTATTTTCTGTGAATTATATTTATCTCTGCCAAAATGTATAACGTAGGTAAATAAAGTGGTCGTTATCAACATATTTATTTAAAACTAGAGGGCCACCTCGCTTCTAGAGGGCTAGCTAGAGGGCTACCTAGGTATGTTGTATTATAACGTGTTTTCCCATGGGAATGAGATAATCTTCCACGGTAAAAAGTAGCCTGCCAATTATCACCACATAAAAAATTCAATATTTTTTTCATTTTTTTTGTTTTTGGATGATCTTTACAAAGAAAATATAAAAAATATAAAAATATTTTCGAACCACTAATCAAAAAAATCTCAAAATTTACCAGGAAGCCTCTTTTGAGAGGTACTAAAATATTAAGAAAATCAAAAATAAAATGTTTTGAAACCGTCCGATTCGGCGTGGAATGCTCCATATCTATTCTATACTAACCGAAAATACTGAGCGAAGCGAGTTAATAATATAAAAATATATCTCAAAACTAAAGTTAAATTTCGTTTCTTTTATCTTTGTATCTAGTTCATTTTAGTATTTCTTGAGAAAATACTGCAATCTATAGATATAATATAATAACTGTTTTTTCAAGAATCGATAGAAAATATTTGATTTTATCTTTCATATCTTTAAATTCGGGCAAGGAAATAAACGAACGATTTATGTATAAATCTTTGTTTTTCGGTTTATCTGTACTATATTTGATCGCGATGAGACTTGGGAAGCTTGTGAAGATTTGGCATTACATGTTAGAAGAAGGTTAGTAGAAGCTCTCCTAATGTGCGTTCACCTTGAGAAGGGAGAGGGTTAGGCTCATGAGCGTCTGGTAGTTCAGCCGGGCGCGAAGCTTAGAAACGTACTGGATGGGCGGTGTACCATGTGGGTTGCTCCTGGTACTTATCTGATAGCAGAGTGGACCTTGGAGCAACCCTATGGTTGTTGTGGTCTGCTTCGGCAGACCTGCCGTCGGGGCGTCTGGTTGAGTGCGTAAGCGATCCTGCGACGCTTCATTAAGACGGGGAAGATTTTGTTGAGTTTTATTGGGTAGTACTGGTTTTTATAGCCGGTGAGTCTCACATAACCACCTGTATGTATACAGGTGGTATGCGTAAATGCAATTCCTAACATAAAAAAATAGGTTTGTATTAAGTATTCGATACTTTGACGATCGAGGATAGGTCATAAGTAACCAATAAAACATATATTGACCAAACAACTTACTGTTTATTTTCATCACAAATTCAAATGATAATATAACATAGTTTACTTATACTAAATCATATATGTTATCTGAAAAAAACAATGTAAATTATCGACTTAATAGCCTTATACTTATATTATATTGAAAAAAATTAATTTACAATATTATATGCTTATATCACTACATCTAAATTGTTAATTATCACGTGGTTTTTTTCACCCTATAACAATAAATTGGAAAAATACACATTTGCTTTCATAAATTATATGTGTGTAAATTCAGTAGATAAATAACCAGCTACTGAGGATTCTTATTATAATAGCAGTATACTAAGTAGTACACTGTCTGGGATATAAAAATATAGCTCATGAAGTATCATCAAATATGTATTTTTCAAATCGGGTGCGCTTATTGATCTACCTTGTATACGCATATTTTTCCGTAACATATTATTTGCCAATTGAGATTATAAACTCCAATACGAATCTAATTTTTATTTATAAAAAAAATATAGAAATACAATATATTAATTTTAAGTAATCATCGATCAACATCAATTTCGTGGACGATATTTCTATTAGTTTCATTTTACTAAATTATCATCATACTAACGAGATATATCTTATATAAATATTTATAATCTTAACGTAATCTATTTGATCTACGAGACTTAAATATAATAATTTGCTACCTTCTAGTACATCTTCACGTTCATTGCAAATTCATGAAATTTATTATAATTTTCTAAACACGAGAATACGCAATCGTTTCTTATTTGTAGAAATTTAAATAAAATAATAAATAATTATAGATCATCATAGTTATTATGTAGATCCTAACGGTCATGCCATATGAAATACAAAATAAACAAGATGTAAAGAAAATTAAAGCCTGGTCAAGATCAAAGACAATGGTTAGAATCAACGTCAAGTGATTTTCAATTAAAAATAATTGATATTATGTCGTCATCGCTACGTAGCTTAATATTACAAGAGTTAAGGCTTAGGCAAGGAGTCATTCTACAATCGAGATATAATAGATATTTTAATAAATATATGGGGATGACATATATTAATTCTATGAAATAACGATTTGTAGTTTCGACCTTTATCTTTCAGGATTGTAGAATCGCTAGTCTAAGCGTTATCAGACAGATAGCTGCACCTAATGAGATTCAAATGAAATGTACGTAGCGATACCAAAGGTAGATACTAAAATTATTTGAAGTATCATTTTGTATATAGTCTTACAAATAATTTAATGAATATTCCTTTTAAAAAAATCGAACTCATCACATATTGATGGTCAAATGCATATTTTTACTTACTGAATACTGATATTAAAAAGCCGCCTGATAAAGAACTGAGTTATTTCCTGTTGTTGGATTTAGTTTGCTAAATAAATATCCAGTAAAGACAAAGCGCATAATTACAAAAAGATAAACACAGATGTTCGTGGCTATAATAATATTACGCGAATACGCTCTAATAAAGCCTTGTACAGTGTGAGGCAAAATATTGGAAGAACTAAAACACAAATTTTCATTCATCAGACAGCCTTTTTGATATTTTGTTCTCTAATTTTATTTTTGAACAACAATGCTGTCAATTCGAATGTCAATGTGTTGGAGAGTTTGTTAATTTTGAAGTCGTTTAATTTGTTCCGAAAATGATTATATTCATTACTGTATTGATGACCTTGTTACACGTCTTTATTGACCTTCGACGCAAATACGGGGTGTTATAAGTTTGACGTGTCTGAGTGTCTGTGTTGTGTGTCTGTCTGTGGCATCGTAGCTCCCGAACGGACGAACTAACTTTGATTTTGTTTTTTTTTTGTTTAAAAAGTGAATTAGTCGGGAGTATTCTTAGCTATGTTTGATGAAAATCGGTCCAAGATGGTCAGGGGTTATTCAGTTTTTAATTTAATTCATAGAAAAACGGTAACGGTGGGAAGAGCGTGTAGCACACTTGCTCTATATTTGAAGTAATTTAATATGACTATGATTAAGATATAGGAAATACTCAAATAAGAAGTGAAGGAAGACTAAATTTTTGACAAAATTTCCAAGTGAATATACTCTCTGTCGGTGACGTTTAAAACGTTCATTTTATATGTCCATATAATGTTTATAAATAATTTTTGTAATATATAAATATCTAGTGTCACGGTGTTTGTGGTAGCACTTCTCCGAAACGACTCGATCGATTTTAATGTTTTATTTTGTATATTTGGTAGGTATGAGAATAGGTCGTAAAGTAGTTTTCAACCCTCCTACCACCACCCTCTATTTTTTTTAATTACAATTTTAGTAGTTTTGTATGAATATAATATACATAGCGACGAAACCGAACCAAGCGAGGGCGAGTCACTGTATAACATAAAGCCAAAGAGTTTTTTTTTGTAGATTGGACACAGGCGTAGCCGCGGGTGCTGCTAGTATTATTTAAAAACCGCACAATTTTTTTTATTTTAATGAGCACATTATACAAGCATACAATACGAATTGACAATCTTTTTTGAAGGTATAAAAAGTGGGGCAACTTTAGAATATAGAAAGTTGATTGTAAAGAGGTCGTTCGAACTAAAACTTTTGTACTTGAATAATTTTCTTAACTATTGGATACATTATGTTAAATTCGAGATGTTATTCGTGGTTTGTACCTAATATGTTTATGGCAAAGGCGCGTGTCGCGCTAAAGCAGGTACAATGACCTACATATTTAAAGATGTGTAATAATGATGTCGTCATCAATTTCGTCCTTTTCATCATCTTCTTCTGGTGGCTGCTTAGCGGCTTCTGCAGCGGCAGCCGGATTCTCAGCTATTGCCTTCATACGACGAGCCTAAAATTAAAATTGCAACATGTTTAATAATAATTATGTATTCTTTATTGTACACCAAACAAAAAAACACATATAGACATTAATCTACACTACTATTATAGAGAGGAAAGATTTGTATTTTTGTATGTTTGTAACGAATAAACTCAAAAACTACTGGACCGATTTAGATGAAATTTGGTAAAAAGATAGTTTGAGACTCTAGGAAGGACATAGGATATTTTTTATTCCGGAAATCATCCCTTAAGGGGGTGAGAATGGGGATGAAAGTTTTATGGAGAATCAACCTAAAAATAAACGAAGATGCACAGCAGGCAGCCTTATAGCTTAAAGTCATCTCTTCCAGGCTTAACTAACAGATAAAAAGAGTGAGAGCAAAACGGTAGGTGGTAGTTATATTTGCTATATTACGAATTTGATATAATTATACATACAATATTATAAGTATATATTTACACTTCATTCTTCATTGGACTATTATTAAAGAAAGCTTGTTTGTGTGTTTGTTTGTTAAGTCTTCACGCCGAATTGGCTGAACGGATTTGGGTGGAATTTAGTATGTACAGTGTACACTGATTGATTATGACCGAGAATAACACATATACTCCTGTTAGGAGTCGCGCGCAGGTCGCTAGTATTATTATAAACGTTAAAACGTATTTTTGGTTATTAACCTTCCTGCAACACACTGTGACTTTTTATATTTAGAGATAATTTATACATATTTAAATTAAATTTATAAAAAATCATCGCAATAAGTATATTTTAATATAAAATTTATTTTTTACAACCTTCTCAGTCTAATGATTATCTGTATTATATTAAAATACTAGCAGAACCTGCGACTTTGCTCACGCTCAAACTACAAAAAAAACTCTAAAAAGGTATGTTTCATCCCCTATTTTACCCCCTTATGAGGTTAATTTCGAAAAATGCTAAAACACGTATTTAATTAATTGTATTGACGAGTACTAATACCAAGTTTCAAGTAATTCTGATTATAAATATTTTTTTGGATTGTATTGTAACGTGTTTTCCCCCGGGAAAGGGATGTACTCCCGCGGTAAAAAGTAGCCTATGTCACTCTCCAGCCCTCCAACTATCTCCACACAAAAAATCACGCCAATCCGCCAAGCCGTTTCGACGTGAAAGAAAGACAAACAAACAAACAAACACACTTTCACATTTATAATATTAGTATGAATTGTAATTTTTTCCTATAAAAAAATATTGTTGTACTCACTAAAGTCAAACTTACCTTTCTAATATGTAAAATCTCCACGACGATATATCCAGCCACACCAAGCAGCAACGATACCATTAAAACGTATAGCTTCATCCTGGCACAAAGATGAGTTGAGTAAGCGTAAGCTACGACAAAACCGGCGCTCTCCCAGAGTCTGTAGTTAGAGAAAGCAGCTTCTTTGTTACGCCTGAATAGTACACCGTATAAGCCTGGAAAAGATATAATGTATTGATTAATAACATTAGTGGAGACATTTAATTTGAACCACAGATCACAAATATATCAGATTTAAAGGTAAAATTTAACAAAAGTACAAAAATAATAGAGTTTCGAATTGAAACACCCTTTAATATTTATTTTGATTTAATTATGATTTTATCGAAAGGGGCATAACTAATGAAATATACCATTTACCGGGGAATCCCTCAGAATGAAATTGATAAAGAAACACTAATCGTTTCTAAATGATTTCAAACCAAAATAATATTACCTACTTTAAATGTTAATTAATTTTGTTTTGGGTTTGTATATATTTTTATATGAAGATCAACGTATTTTCTTAATTTGCTTTGTAGATAAGCTGATAATGTAAGTCGTGGGAAAAACGGAACAGAATAATGGTACGTAAAATTTAACTCAGCGCTATCAACTTTGATCCAAACATTACAAAATGAACGTTTCGGGCGATTATATATTTAGCTTGTAGTGTAAGATTGGCTTAAGTTTTTTTATAGAAGTGATTGGGCGTTGTAATATATGCATACGTATATAGAATAAATAAATATGTTATATATGCTTTCTTATTAAGCTGTTTGAATTTTAAGGGTCCAAAATTTAGTAAGCGTAACCACGATATTTTGACCTGCCATGTACTAGAACGAAATATACTCGAAATACCTTTATACTTCGCTCATGTAATGAGTATAATAAAAAATTTACAAGTATAGACATATTTTCAAATTCACTTTTAAGTTTCAAAAATAGTATTAATAACCTATTGTTTAATTGTTGATTTTGTATTTTATGTATTTTATATTTTTCCTTATTTTTTTTTTATTATTCATGTTAAGCAGTGTTTCATTTTGTAATTTTTTAGTTTATTGTTTAGCTTTTTGTTTTTCTCATTGTCATTATGGTCTGCTTCTTAAGTGTATTGTTTAATTTGTGGAAACTTCATTGGTTTATGTGTCATCTATTATTATTAATTATTTATGTAATATCGTACTGTTTGTTTCCCTAAAATAAATAAATAAATAAATAAATGTTAGGACATTAATACACAGCACCATCTAGTTCTATGGTAAGCTACGAAGCTAGTGTTATAGATACAAGATAATTGATACACTACAGATAAATAACTTTAAATATATACATATTATAATAAACACCTATGACTTGGAGTATAAGCATTCGTGCTCATCACACAAATTCGCCCAGCGGGACTCGAACCCGCGACCGCTGCCACAGCAATTACCAACAAACTGAGGTCAGGTCAATACAAACTGAGCCAAACGTGTCGTCAGATATTAAATTGATAGAATATGATAAATGTGTTTAATATAACTTTAGAATAACCTTTAATCCATCAGGTCAAGTCTTCAGGGTTGGGCTTCGATAAATTGAATCTTAATTATAGCGTGAATTATGTCGACATAAGTTACCTTACCTACTATCTTACAGCAACAGCCAACAATAATCGAGAAGGCCGAATTAATACAAAGTTGACGAAATATAACTAATGCCATATTAAGTTTTAAATAAATTTGAGTAAACCGAGTACTTATTCGTTATATTATATGCGATAGATTTTCTTGGTTTATCATTTTGTCCTGCTTTTCCATAGCAAAAGATCGTAATAGTTAATTGATTATTGCTTTGTGGTCCCATAGGTACTTTAGTTATTCCACCATCGGACATTTTCTTGAATTTTAAATGGGAATTTAAATAATATTGAATAAGAAAGATCTAAAAATTGCTATCCAATATGCGTGTGATTTAAATAAAGTCCAAATATATTTTTTTATAATCTTTATTTCTTTTGAATTTGAATTCAATATTTTTTGATGTAATTTCTTTTTGATTGAGAAAATATTTATTAAAAAGTGCAAATACATGTAGGTGGGAAATTCAAAGTGTGAAACGCACGTCATTGGTCAGACCGAATATGACGTCAAAGTATTATAATAACGGCGATTAGCGATTTATTATATATATATATATATATTACAAATTGAGTCGTCGCTGTTATCATACTGTGATGGAACGTCAAGCGCGCGAAATGTAAATAAAATGAAATAATGTATTAAGTCCTTCCCACGGTCTTAAACTACCTTCTTACCAAATTTCATCTAAATCGGTCCAGTAGTTTTTGAGTTTATTCGTTACAAACATACAATAATTCAAATCTTTTCTCTTTATAATAGTAGTGTAGAAAAAGAATTCGGGTTCCGGTAAAAAAATTAAACGCGCGACGCGTAAGTCGCTAGCAATATTTTATTTCTAACTAGCGAAACTCACGGTCACCCTCGCTTCGCTCGGGTTCGTCCCTAGGTTGATTTCCCATACAAACTTTCATCCTCATTTTCACCCCCTTAAGAGATGATTTCTGGGATAAAAAGTATCCTATACCCCGAATCTCAAACTATATTCTTACCAAATTTCATCTAAATCGGTTCAATAGATCCTGAGATTACCCTCTACAACGTCACAAACTCACAAACATTACTTGTTTATAATATTAGTATACATAGGTAGTACCTACTGTATTGTAACAAAGGTGTTTAAATTAAAGCACACAAAGCAAAGTGAACTAATTTTATTTATTTCATCACAACGGTTTCATCACAATTTACCAAGGATTTTATATACATACATATAATAACTAAAAAAATAGTTATATATAATAACAGATTTTAGAGATATATATAAAATTGTCAATATTTTTTATTGTGTTTTGATAAATAAAGCGGGCAACTAATATGAAATAGAAAACATCAAGTTCCTATATTACTGACGTTGGACACGACCATAGACACGAGTTATAATAATACCACATTTACCGATTTCGGTTTTTGTTTCGTGCGGATGTAAACAAATTGCACAATGAAAAGTGCATGTGTATGTAATTCACACATGGTAAGATGTGAAACTTAATCAATACTTCCATACTTACTAGTACTTACTTACTTACTAATATTATAAATGTGAAAGTGTGTTTGTTTGTTTGTCTTTCTTTCACGTCGAAACGGAGTGACGGATTAGCATGATTTTTTGTGTGGAGATAGTTGGAGGGCTGGAGATTGACATTTTACCGCGAATGTACTTTTCGCAAATCTACTTTTGACCGCGGAAGATTATCTTTTTCCCACAGAAAAACACGTTATAATACGATTCAAAAAAATCAGAATTACTTGAAACTTGGTATTAATGCTCTTCAATAAAATTAAAATATTACGTGTTTTAGCATTTTTCGAAATCATCCTAAAGGGGGTAATATAAGGGTTGAAAGTTTGTATGAAACTACCTTTTTATAGATATTTTTGAAATTTTAAAGCGAGCTAAGTCGCGAGTTCTGATAGTCCTATATAAATTATAAATTATGATCGTATATGATATCGTGCATGAATTCTTTATATAGGAAAGATTATCACTAAGTAAGGAATTTATAAAATGATCCCCTAAAGACATGACAAAGGGGTTTTTATACAAATTCTGATTAAAAGGTTAGAGTTGAGAAGGTGCGAATTCGATGTTGAAATAGAGAATAAACATTATTATCAATACAGAGGCCGAATCTATAGTTTTTAGATTTTATATCTGTCTGTCTTCTGTCTGTGATCGCAACACGAAAAAACTACTGGAGGGATATCCTGGTCAACATATAAAATATTTTTTACTGCGAAAAAATATCTCATCTCTGAGAAATCTATACTAGTTACTAAGCAATAAAACGTAAGTAGGGACGAACCTGAGCGAAGCGTGGGTGAGGCTAGTTCAATATAAAATCTAATGAAATGTATACTTGTAACTTGTACTTTTCATACCATCAGTATAATTTCTTGGAACTCTGGTATATTATTGAGTATACGTCGGAAATTGTTTCCTGTCGAAACTTAATATACCTATGTAGTGCTATTTGCCGAAAAGACCGATAGGTACTAACACGTGTACGTGAGAGCCACTCTACACCTGCTAAGTTTAGGTATGACGATTTTTCAGTTATCAGTTATGTTTATACTTCAATATAAAATAACAGAAACAATAAATTTTATATTGCCTCGTGCTGGTCTTTGTGATAACGCTAATGTAATTAAGATATCAATTAAAAATCAATTCATGAATGCATTTGTTTATAATTATTTTTCTACCTGAGCATTTATAAGGAAATAATATAAGCGTACTTACATATTTATTATATTATAAACTAACGGCCTACGGCTCTCCAACTTTCCACGGGTTCGTCCCTAGATTTTAGTATTTTTTAGAGGAACCTCAATTCTTTTTCTAAAATAAAAGTAGCCTAAGTTACTCCTTATAACATCAGCTATCTGCCATCGGTCCAGCCGTTTTGGAGATTAGCCGGAAGAAACAGACGGACAGACTTTAAATTTTGTGTTTTTCTTATAAGTACCGTATATAAATAATTTCATATGCATTTAGTAAAAAGCATTTTTTTTTATATTACAAGCAGAAACTTCAATTTTATTTATCTGCATAGATTACATAAACAGATAAGGAAAAATATTTGCAAGATTTCGTTAAATTTTTATTTTTTCTAATTACATAAAACTGAACATTCACTCTAACTGTAAGTTTGCGTGTCGATATAAATAACATCCGTATTCTTAACACGAGGAACTACAAGCAATTACACTCAATACTCTTCTCACGTGAATGTTATATTTTCGGTATATTAATTTAAGAAAAATATATCACTTATCTAAAAAATCCAATTTAATGTCAAAAAGAACATAGAATATTACGTAAAAATGGATATCCTCCGATTAAATTATTTAAGCAGGTATATGTTATCGTATAATGAACGATGAATCAACGCCAATTGTAATATTTTTAACGAAACAAACTCGTAATCATTACTTGAGCTTCACGTTTATACATTTTTATGGAAATACTAGCATTGCCCGCGGCTCCGCCCGCGTTTAGGTGACAAAAAACCGAATTCTTAGGTTTTCTATATATATAATATTAGTATACTCTAACATTGCAGTTTTTGTATTTTTTCTCAAAAACGAGATATTTTACGGCGGTTAAAAGTATGTGATATGTTGACCCGGATAACCAGCTATCATCTTACCAAATTACATCAAAATCCCTCCAGTGGTTTTTCTGTGATGAGTTTTATTAATAAATTTTAAAATAAATGAATTTCATTATATGTATAGATTATAAATGAGAAAGTGTGTTTGTTTGTTTGTCACAATAAAGTTTGTTCTAAATAGTTTACAAAAATATATGCAACTTATATGGTGAAATGTAATATGGCAAGAAAAATGTTAAATAAAAAGAACAAATAAAAAAATAAGTACAAAAACAAAAAGTTTTTTTTTTACTTTGTAAATATTTTTTAATTCTCTTATAAAAATAATATCAGATATTTTATTATACGGAAAAAACACGTTAAAAGTAATAAAATTTGATTAAGGAAAATCAAATCGAAATACAAAATTTTGTATCGCTCACACTAATTTTTAAGTTCATTTAAAATAATGTAAATAGCATCAGAATGTATAGAATTGTTAGCAACATACACCTCTTATTATATAAAAACGTGATTTGACGCATATTTTTATCCTACAAAACCTCAATACAAGAAGCCAATGTAAAGATTCCATTCTAAAAATACCATCCTGTTACGAGTTTGCTAATAATGGTTTATATACTTGAAACCAGCCAAGTCAGTGCTAAAATGGAGTACTAAAATAAGACCTAAGCAAGTAAAACTTTCGCAAGAATATTTAATGAAAGAATTCATCGTCTGACGTCTTGAAGCTGTATAGTATCGTTCTATTTATGGCTAACTTCAAAAAACAGGGGATTTTTTTGTAACATAAATGATGAATGTCCAGCAAATAATAACAAGAGATGGTTATGTAATGTACCCAATAACTTGAAAGATTGCTTAAAATCAAGATGGTGGTACGAGAATTCAGAATTTTTGGAAAATGATAGATAAATATGTATCAACTAGTATAAATTATTGTATGTAACTTAATGTGATAATCTATGTCAAATGGCGTCGTTAATGGCCTTAGATGTCAAAAAGCGACCTAAAATCTATACATATAATAAAATTGTAACTACGCCGAATCTGTACACTAAATATTTTTTGGAAAACCTTACAGAAATAAACATTATTATCGATACAGAGGCCGAATCTATAGTTTTTAGCCTGTTGTTTAAAAAAAATCTTTTTAATATACTCCTAAGTGTACACTGTACGTGCAGTGAGTGTTGTAGTGTATACGGTATACCTGCGCCTCCGCAACCGAAGCGTGTCCAATAATTTTACGTTTCTGCTTATCGTGAACGTATACTTTTTTGAAGCTATAAATAACCTTGGTTTTTTTTAAATGAATGCCTAAGTATCATTCTTCTTTATTTGACGTAAATTAAGCATCTAATGTTATACGATTTTTTATACGGAATTAAATAATTTGTACATACGTAACATAGGTTATACAGTTTTATTTGGATATACTAGCATTGCCCGCGGCTCCGCCCGCGTTCAGATGACCAAAAACCAAATTCTTAGGTTTTACATATTAGTATATAATCTTATAATGCAGTTTTTGTTTTTTTTTCAGAAATGAGACATTTTCCAGTGGTAAAAGTATCCTATATGTTGACCCGGATAATCAGCTATCACCGTACCAAATTTCATCAAAATCCCTCCAGTGGTTTTTCTGTGATGCGGTGACAGACAGACAGACAGACAAAAATTCTAAAAACTATAGATTCGGCTTCTGTATCGATAATAATGTCGATTTCAATAAGATTTTCCAAAAAATATTCAATGTACAGATTCGGCTTAGTTACGATTTTATTATATGTATAGATAAATTAGAATGGGAAGGCTTGTTGTTAAGAACTGATTGTACATATTCGTGATCAAACCCGGCGGTTTTATACATTGAAAAATAAACAAAGTAGATATTTAAAGTACTCTTCACAGTTTACAAATTCAATAATATTCCATCAACATGAAATAATAAGATGATATAATAACAAAGTAACTTAGAATAGACTCAATGGCCTTCTGAGGATCTCTTGTGTCTTCAATTACAAACAGCAAACCGTATCAATGTTAGGTATGACTTCTTGACCGCAAAAAATATTATTTATGTTAGCAAGATTTACATAGGATTGGTTGTAAAAAAATGTACTGAATTATAAATTATCTTTATTTATTTTCAGCAATTACTGACTTCAACAATAACTGCGAAAGTTTATACGTTTTTGTAAGCTTGTATGTTTGTTCCTCACTCTCACTTATACGAGACGAATTTACTTGTAAATCTTATACATACAAAGACTATGACCTGGATTAATGGACCTACAGATGATGTTAGTACTAAAAGTTACCAAAAGATGGCGCTAATTGTTTCGACAAAAGATGAACATACATAATTATGTACACACAATATTATATACCTATATGTTTTAGTATTAAGTCGAAAAGGGCACGTGGAGGCATGCTAGCGAAATTACATATTATCAATCAGAATTAAACATAATATATTGGTATAATAATATAATATACTTCTGTCTTCTGATATAACAAGTAATTACATATATTTATTTATTTCAAAATCTGCAGTATATAATGAAAAAATGACTCGCTTATTACCATTTTTTATACTTGCGACTCGCCCTCGCTCCGCTCTGGTTTGTCCCTACATTTTGACGCTTCGTATAAATTTTTCCCGGTCTAAAAAGTATTCTAAAGGTTGACCCGGATAACTAGCTATCACCATGACAAATTTCATCAAAATCTGTCCACTGGTTTTCTCGTGACGCGTTCCCAGACAGACAGACAAAAATTCTTAAAGCTATAAATTCGGCCTCTGTATCTATAATAATGACTATTTCAATAAGATTTTCCAAGAAATATTTAATGTGCAGATTCGAATGGATATTGTATAAAGTATAATAAATATTTTTTATTATTCATTTGTCAATTAATTTTTTTCCTTATATTCGTAATATAAGGAAATTCATTTTGTAGACCAAAAGTCGGAATACTTTGTCGATAATTTTATTCATATGCTTTTTTTGACACATAGACAATGCCACGCGTTGAACCTAATGGGAAATATTACATTTTAAAACTTACCATTAACTTGAGTTTGCCATACAGCATCGCCAACACCCCATAAACCAGATATCACAAAGAACGTTGATGGTGTTTCAGGGTTCGGTCTCCAGATCAAAAGCCACACGATGAGTCCAAGGTGAAGAGCTGCCCCCATTACCAATATTGGGAATCGTCCGATATACTTCATGGCTGTGCCAAAAAGAAGCGAACAAAGCGCGTTCACGACTCCGAAGCAAATCATTACGTAACCGATAGAACGAATTCCAAGAGCGCAAGATACATACGCCTGAAACAAAAATTTATGTCTCCATTATTGTGTAATAAGAGAAATGCAGTAATGCTAATTTTATATTTAATAGCTTTAGATTATAACTCGAATTAGATCAGATTGTTATGAAGGCTTTAATTAAAATCTACCTATTTTAGTATAATCAACAAAAAAGATAACAAAAGTTATAATACTACAACGTGCCTTTTATTTTACTTTGAAATATTTTGTATTTCATATATATTTTAACCATATATAAATATATAATAAATTTAGGATTTACTTACTTGTGTATAATCGGCACCTATGAAAGCCTGCTCCATACCAATCCACAGTGTGATTGGGATGAGTAGTTGTTGGTTGGGTTTCTTCAATTGATATGCAGTAGCCGAGAGCAGCTGGATCCCTGACAACTTCGCTGTATCGGCAGTCCTTTGTTTCTCACCATACCTTCATATAAACTATTATGTTAATATTTTTAACCGATTTCCAATACATATAGATAGATCGCTACCAAATCGCTAAAATTATTCATGACTAAATTTAATTTTGTTTATACTTGAAAAATCTAATACTACGTTTGCACAACATTCTCGATTGATTAAAGTCTGCCAAGACAAGGAATAAATTGGTGGAATAAGACAAATTTCCTAAAAAAACTAACAATGAATATTCAACGAGGTATTGTAACAGGCGTTAAATTAATTTTGAAGACGATAATTGCTATCCTTCCTTTTGACTGAGAAGTTTTTATATCTTACGAGATGTAATTGCCTGATCGAATAATTATGATTGGAATAAATTAAATACACTAATTTATGACTACAATTTATTAGAACTTCAGATATTTTGCAGTTTTATTATTTTTTTATTTTTCGGAAACAAAGGCACCATTTTCAAGATCTTGCCAGACAGACGTAGATGAATCACCACGACAAAAACGGACCAGAAAAAGCAAAATTAGTTTTAATTGGCAAGAAAATGTGAATATGCAACTGGTGTAACTCGACGCCGCGCAATACGCGAGTAACATGTTACAAGATAGCTTTGCAGACATTGCTTAATGGACTTATCCAGTGAATCCAGTGGTGCAACTTATTAGTAGCCCAACATTAGTCTTCTGTTCAATAATTTCTTACAGAAGACAAAGATAAATTTGTCATTTATTTGCTATTTCCTTGATAGTTAATTTAATTCGATTTTCTTTGTAATGGCTTCCATAATATCCAATTAATTTTATAAGTGTGAAAGTTTGTGAGGATGGACGGACGGATGCTTGTTACTCTTTAGCTTCAGAACGGCTGAACAGATCTGGATGAAATTTGTCACAGGGATAAATTATAGTTTGAAATAGCGTATAGGTTACTTTTTATCCCGAAAAAATGTACAGTTCCTGTGGGATAGATTTGTTTTTGTTGTGAGAGACGAACTTGAAGCGAAGTGAGGGTGATTCGCTAGTTATTTATATATTACTAATATACATGACAAAAGGAATAATATAATTTAATAATATACACTGTTTGTACATTTATTGTGAAAGCTTTTCTATATGAAACGGGCTCTTACTCGTATTACAAATGAGAAAGTTGGTGCTTTTTAACTTCTTCACAGACAAACGGCTGGACGGATTCTGATGAAATTCAGTACACACGCATCCATTCGAAAGGAGTATAATTCGTTAGTCCTCGATCTCAATATGGAAATCATTAAAAAGTATAGTAGTTAAACAAAATTATGTATACCTAGACAATGGATCAACAAGTAACGCGACCATCAAAACAGCGACTACAACGCAAGCGAGATATATAGCACTGATTTCATAGATCTCGCTGTCCGGTGGCCGGTGCAGGTTTTGGTTATCGTGATGGCCGCCTCCAATCATGCAGAAATTCGCTCCGCATGTCAAAAATGTATTACTTGTATTCTCTTTGGACGTATTTCCACTGCTGTGTACTCCTGAAGAAAATACTGTTGGAAATGGAAGAATTTTAATTACTCAAATTGGTATAAAATTATATATCTAATGTGATAGCGATGCAACTTAGAGGTAATTAAAAGAATTACTTGAAACTTACAAATAAATAAAAGAATTTGTCTTGCGATCTGTCCAAAAAAGCCTTAATACCTTTTGTTATAAAAATTCTGAAAAGAATCTGTTAATAAGTACTTGCAGTAATTAGGATTTTTAATAGCAGAAAAACTTTGACGGATGAGCGCAATGAAGCCGGATGCGTCAAAAGAAACACATTACAGAACGAATTCCGTGTAAAATTTACCTCGCTTCTCTAGTCATACAAAAATATTTTAAACTTACCTAAACTAGAAATAAGATTTCCCCATAGTTCAGCAGTCTGCCATGCCAGGAAGAAGAAGCCAAAGAATCTGACAATGATTCCATCGACGGCTTGATCTGTTAATTTAGCGTACACACTTCCAGCTTGAGTCAGATAAGTAGCTTTAGAGGTCCACATGGGGGCCGCTCCTAGGCCAACTATCACTCCAGCAGGCACAAGTGTGTAGAAAGCTGGGAAGAATTGAGCGCCAATGTACGGCGCGTAACAAAGCATGGAAAGGCACAGGGTCCATTTTACTGTAAGCCTCTTGATAAGGAACGTTGGAACAAATATACAAGATACGACAAGTGCCGCGTAAATGGAACTAAGAGAGACTGTTCCAAGGCCGTCTGCAGCGTTGATGGATGATTGAAGATTGGCGGTTCCTTGGAAAGCAGTGAACTGCACCATAAAAGCCGCACTTACAGCTGCTACGTTCTTTAATATTCTCCATTTCTCATTTCTGGATAGCTTCACTTTGCCTGAGGCGTAAGAATCATCTTCCGTAGGTAGAGGTGGGGGTTTGACGATATCGTCGTTAGAGTCTCTATCGTGTTGATAGCCATCGTTTTTAAATCCAGTTTTTACAGTATACACTGAATCCTTGTCCGGCCGGTGGTCTTCACAGCCGCCACCGTGCGTCGCAGTCATACCGTGTTCTCGTTCCGCCCTGAGAACAAAATTGTTTTATTAGATACAACACTTACATTATTAGAATATACTCTATTAATATACGTATATTACAGAGACAATTTTTGCATATGTTTATATAGCATGTATTATCAAAAGTACTTTAAGTAAAGTCCTTCCTTAAACGCTTAATATAATCAAACGCTTCAACGTATAAGGCGATGAGATTCTATTGAGACGAAATTAAAAACAATCGACGAGGCTCACACTTTTAATCGCAAACGGCGCCCAAGCCTCGCACAATGATACATACATACCGTGTTGCAATTGTAGGAGCGATTTCTGTGACAATTCCAATTTGATTCGCATTCGACAACACAATGAGCAACATCGACTGAGTACACATCATTCTATTGTACTGTTTTCACATACTCTTTCGTCATGACATAATTGCACCGCATGAAAACTATAACTGAATGAAAATCAGCCTTTTTAAATTCAGCTTTACGCATCGTTTTAACAATTTACTACCTATGTATATTTGGCTTGCTTTTGGAAAATTAGGTATCGTATTTAAATACGTATGAAAATGTTAGTAAAGGTCTTTATAGAGGGTTGTTTTTACTGTAAACTAATTATTATTGGACGCTGCGCTACTGTTTCCCAAGCCTAGTAGTAATTATTGAAGTTTCTTTCCCACGGGAACCGTACATTTTACGGGATAATAACGTAGTAACCTATGTGCTGTCCAGACTATAATTTATCTCTGTGCAAAATTTCATCCAGATCCGTTCAGCCGTTCTGGCGTGAAAGAATCACAAACATCCATCCATTCACACAATCTTTTACATTTATAATATTAGTACAAATAATTTAGATACCATACTTAGATAACTCCAGGATTTTTATCTCCTATACATTATTTCTTATAAACTCAAATTCTTAAACGTTATTTTTATTTACCTACATATTTGGCTAAAACGTCATAAGCATGTGGTGTCAAAACAATCAATAAAAATATAAATTCACAAGCAAGCCGTTTAAAAAGGACAAAAGCATATTAGCGGAGTCAGATGGTGAAACCTCGTGTATTTATTCACCTAAGGTACGTGTCCAAAACAATTGAATGATCTATTGTGTTACGCCATAGGTGTAGTACTTATATATTAGATGTTATATTATTGATGTTAGTTAAAGATGTTGTCACTCGCTTTGTCCATTGCCTGCTTACGACTGCTAATTTGAAACGTGGATCGAGAACTTGCATTTGCTATACACATTGCTACGTCAGTTATGAAAATATTAATTTCAGCAGACCCAATATCCAGTATACAGAGATCTATAGTTCATCTTTGTATAGCTAATTTCTATACATATAATAAAATTGTAAGTCGGATCTGTGCATTAAAAATTTTTTTGGAAAATTTTATTGAAAAGTCATTCAATCGATACAGAGCCCAAATCTATAGTTCTTAGAATTTTTGTCTGTCTATCTGTCTATTTGTGAACGCATCACGAGAAAACTACTGGACAAATTTTGATGAAATTGGTATGGTGATAGTTGGTTATCCGGGTCAACATATAGGATAATTTTTACTGCAGGAAAATATCTCATCTCTGAGAAATCTATACTAAACGTTAAAACGTAGTTTTAGTTATTATATAAATATTTAACAATATAAAGAATTATTTTGCAATATATGCAGAATGATACTAATATTAATAATAGGAAAATAAGATAGTGTTATAAATGTGAGTGATTGTGAATATGCCTGGGTAAGTGTGTGAGTGTGTGTTTTGAAAGAAGAAAACTTGTATACATTCTAGATTAAAAACTTTTTATCGTAATACTTAGCAAACGAGTAGAGTCGTCGACAGAAACTAGTCAAATATAATTCTACCACTAAAAGGTATAATCTGTTACAGAGCTTATACATACATCTACTTTGCCGGCTAGCGTAACTAAAACCTTCCCACGGTACGCGTTATTATTCGCACTTCCTCTGATACCTGTAATAAGGCTCAAAGACCAATTGGCAAAAAACCATGTCCGTAAATTGTGCTGTGTTTTAAACTGTTCGATTAGATTTTGCAAATTCTATACCACTGACCATTTTCAAACAATATTTAGCTGGAGTGCAAACATTCGTGCTTATCACACAAATTAATTCCCCCAGCGGGACTCGAACCCGAGACCGCTGGCACAGCTATTAGGGTCACTACAAATTAAGCCAAACGTGTCGTCAAAGATATACTTATCTATACATATAATAAAATTGTAACTAAGCCGAATCTGTACATTAAATATTTTTTGCAAAATCTTATTGAAATAGACATTATTATCAATGCAGAGCCAGAATCTATGGTTATTAAAATTTTTGTCTGTCTGTCTGTTACCGCGTCACGGTAAAACCACTGGAGGGATTTTGATGAAATTTGGTATGATGATAGCTGGTTATCTGAGTCAACATATAGAATACTTTTTAGCGCGGGAAAATTTCTCATTTCTGAGAAAAAAATATAAAAACTGCAATGCAAGAATATACTAATATGTAAAACCTAAGAATTTGGTTTTTGGTCATCTGAACGCGGGCGGAGCCGCGGGCAATGCTAGTAACATATAAAGTTTATTGAATTGAAATTCACTGTCCACATGTGTACTTAATTAGAATCGTTCAAGAAGAGAAAACACTATACTTTAATTAACGAATTGTCTTCAACCTTCGCGAGTAAATGGCGACCTCGATTTAGTTTAATGCACCTTTAAATTACAATATCAAGGAATCTTCGCACTTTCAAATATATTAAACCATTTATTGCTTTCAATAAACCGATCGTTGAATTTATTCTTGAATGCATATAATTAAAACATTATTTCATTCCAGAAGAAATTTTTCATTTTTGACCCCAAAACGACGGGGTGTTATAAGTTTGACGTGTCTGTGTATGTCTGTCTGTCTGTGTGTCTGTTTCCTGAACGGATGAACCGATTTTGATTTTGTTTGTTTTTTGTTTGAAGGGGAATTAGTCGGGTGTGTTCTTAGCTATGTTTGAAGTAAGTCGGTCCAACATAGTTGAGGAATTTATAAATGTTTAATTTATCATGAATCAAATTTGTTAAGCAAAACATTGGTATTACAAAAAAAAATACTAAAGATATAGTGAAATATTTAAAAGTGTGTTAGTGGTTAAAAAAGAAATAACAATGAACCAGACTTCTACGAAAACCCATTTATAGTATGGTACTAATAAAAGTTAATCCGCGCGTATACTGTACTCAAGAGAAACTTGTTTCCAAAGGACACCATGTTCCGACGTGTGGCGCATCTTGACCGATATTCATATTACCACGCTTCAATCACATTTTGTTGAAGTCAAAATTAACATATAGTTACATCATGTAGAATCTATATTTATACCACAGACTAGTATTTGAAGTTATACTTCGTTTGACACATTTGGAAAAAAATATGAGAGTTTACGTTGCGCGTGCACACCGACAGCCATAAAGCGACATGATGAAGTTAGCTGCATTCCTTTTACAAACGGTGAGTTGTGACATACGGGATGAAATCTTTAGCTATTTTTGTTCTGTTACGCCATAGAAGTATAACTTACGTGCGTACACACACACGTTTTTTTTTGCAGAATTTTTAAGCATTATGTCACATCCATAAAGAAACATATACTTCTGTTCACACTTCACGTTTTAAGTTTTGAATTCCATCCTACAATACGAATTAAATACATTATATTTAAACTAGCAAAACCACCTTTTATCAAATATCATTACTTACTAATAGTCTATCTGTATCTCAATTAGACCGCATAATTTTTAGTACAAAGTGATGTTTGATAAAATTACAGTACGCATTTTCATGGTCACAATTATTAATTCCTATTGTAATATCGTGAAGTATAGCTTAGATATATATTATAATACGGGGTTGTCATTTCGCCAATTAAGGGGTAATGAGATTAATGAATACAAATTTTGTTTAACCACGGAAGTTAACGAGTATTAAACATGTTAAATAAATTGACCAAGGTCGGAAGACAATGGCTAAGAGCAAACAATAATAAAATGTAATTTGTAGGAACTTGAATTATAATTTTAGGATTTGTTTTTCTAAGTGATATTTTGTTTTAAGGCTGAGTACTACTATCGAAATATTTTTTTTATATCATAACATTTTAAGTATGTATATATTAAAGTAGCATTTTAGGTTGATTTCAAAGTATATTTATTACAACCAACCCACCCTCGTGTCGCTTTGAGCTTCACTACCTCCCAAATTCGATACTCTACCCAATCGGAAAATTGCCAGAAGCAACTGTACCTTATACTGTTTATGATCATTTACGGCTTCCACTATCTATAAATTTCATTAAAATCGATCAAGCCAGTAAGCAAAATTGTTGTTCTATCTTTATACGGAAGAACTTTTTTCATGAGAGAGAAATTATTCTTTTCATTTTCTAACTCAGTATTAAGTAATTATTCTTAAATCTCAGACTTAACTTTGCAGTCTACCTATATTGTTACTAAATTTAATTCAAATCTGTCCAGCCGTTTTACGATTAAGGATTAACAAACATACACATACTTTTTTATTTATTATAGTCATCGACTAAAAAAGTATTCGATAAATAATCAGCGACAAAAAATGTCCTCGCCAAATGAGCGCTCATTGAACAATCGAGCGCGCGTTTAATTTAAATTTCTTTTTGTGATAACAGCTTTGAGCATTGCATTTAAGGTTTAATTTACATTGTTGTATATTTATTTCAACTAGAATATTACCTAAACACAATTGGTGACAGTTTTAAAAGAATTTTTGAATGGGATTGTTTACCTAGTACTTTTTTAATCGATGATTATATTAATACGAATACGTCATATTAATAGTCTAATAGGAATTAAAGTGTAAAGGTCTTAATTTTATTTTAAAATAGGCTTTAGACAGTAAGCCTAATGCCACATATTTAACAGTTTTTAGACAACTCAATTTAACTGATCGTTAAAATAATAAATCACTGTTACAATAAATGAATTTTCCTCGCGGAGCGAATAAAATTTGATATCAACAACGTGTGAGTGTATACACTTAGTATACAACTATCGACTCACCCTCGCTTCGCTCATCACGCTTAGTACCTACCTATATATTTCTCAGAGGTGAAATATTTTCTCGCAGTAAGTATCCTATATATTGATCCTAATACCCAGCTGTCTTCATACCAAATTTCATCAAAAATTTTCAAGTGATTTTCTCGTGATGCGTTCCCAGACAGACAAACATACAGACAAACAAAAATTCTAAAAACTATATATTCGGCCTCTGTATCGATAATAATGCCTATTTCAATAAGGTTTTCCAAAAAATATTTAATGTACAGATTCGACTC